TCCACTCCTCCAACTCTGCAGCTACTCCTGGGCCTCTGCCGCAGGCAGACCAGAAGCACCAGGCTCCCGACTGTGATGCCGGCGGGAGTCACTGCACAGGAACGCCACCTGGGTTGGGTGCACGGCCTCCTCCTGGGAGGAGGGTTGCCCTCTAGGATGCCGATCCGCCCCTGGAGGCACACACACCTCAGTAGGCTGTTCACGTATAACCCTTCTCTGCCCTGGGCAATGCTAGCCCGGGTGCAAATCTGGTCTGCAGGTCCGACCTCTGGGTCCCAGAGTTCAACTGTATCCCCACCAGGGAGAGGATTTCCGGTCCCAATTCACCCACAGGAGCCCAAGCTGGGTCTATGTCTCTCAGCCTCTGAGTCGGCACCGTTCCTGGGAACACCGTGCCAGCAGCACCTGGGAGGGTGGGAGGTAGGGAGCTCACAGTCTGAGTTCCCTGAGTCAGCTGTAGGGTCCAAAAGGGAAGGTCCCGTTCCCTGGAGGTGCCTCTGGCTGGTGGCTGTATTGTCTCTCTGGGCAGCTGTGGGTAGGGTCGGCGGAGGGGAGGAGGAGTCAATATAGCGCCTGCCGCCCCAGGCTCGGGTCTGTGCACACGGAGTGCCCGGAGGAAGTTGGGAACCTGGTGCCACGTCTGTACAGGCTCACGCTGGCTGGCGGCAGCGTGTGCTGGGCTGGTGTCCACAGGTCTCTCCACCCGCTGGGAGCCCACCAGGCAGTCCAAATGCAGGGGAGGGGAAACAGCAAATCCACCTACCCTTGCCGCTGGTCTCCGGGTTGCTCCGGTGGTCTCACCCTCCAGTTCTCCTCCGCAGCCTCCTCCCGTGGAGTCTCCTAGGGTCTCAGGTACCCCTCCTTCCAGCCCTCGTCCACTGCATGCTCATCTTCTTGCTTCTTTCCTCTAATTTCTGCTAGAAGCTGTCTTTTCTGCAGAGACACTCTGTCTGGTGGTGTTATTCGTCCGCCATCTTGCTCCACCCTTCTCTACTGCATTTTTTAAAATCCTCACAACAACCCAGGAAAGTAGGGATTTTTATTATTCCCATTTTATCAATGAGGAAGCTGAGGCTTGGAAAGGTTTAATAACGTATCCTCAGTCACACAAAAACTAAGTGTTGGAGCCACTTATAATGCCAGTGATTTCTAGACTGATGAGGAAACTGGAGACTCCCCACACTTTGTCCTGTGTGTTGCCTGCCCAGAGGAGCCTGGGGAGATCCTCAGGTTATTCTCATCTGTCATCAGAGCACTTGATTTTCTTCTTATGGAACTCGAAATCGTTTGCCTCACACCATTCCTGCTGGCACCGAACTTCCGTAAGGATAAGGGAGCACAGAACTTTTAATGTCCTTGCCCAGAGTAGGTCAGAGTCGGACCAAGACATGTTCCTCACCAGCATTCTATCTTCCAAGTCCCACACTTGTCACACTCAAGATACAGAAAAATCCTACCCTGTCTTTCATGGGAAAGGATCAACAAAATGCCTCCAGTCTGCCATCATCAGTTCCAGCCAACTCAGCTCAACAAAGATATTCCGAGTAGTATAGCAGGGATGGCTAGCTGTCTGTCAAAGTCAACTCTTCCCTTCCTTTTAACAAAAGGGTTCTGACCTCTTTTTTAAGCAGGCACATTTCCAAGTCTCTTTTGCAGCCACCTGTGATCATGTCACTGTTACCAGCATATCAGTAGTTATACTAGGCTGGAAGCAGTAGTGTTGTGTAGTACTTTCAGGAAGACTCTTGAATAGGAGGGGTACCCTTTTTCTTCTTTATTCCTCCTTCCTGCCCTAGAATGTGGTTGAATGGCTGGAGCTCCAGCAGCCATTGTGGATTATTAGGTGAGCTTGGGAATGGTAGCCAGTTAGAGCAGAATGAAAAGGTAAGATCAGCCTGGGTCTCAGCATTATAAATTGGCCATACCAGCCCTGGACTATATATTTTAGTGAGAAAGAAATATATTTAAGTCTGATTTTTTATGCTTTTGTTATTTGAAGCCAAAATTATCTGAGAGAAGCTCCTATAATGAGCTAGGAATTAAGCTGTAAATAAATTTCCTTCCATCTCCCCTAACCTCACCACACACACAAACAAGAAAATAAATAGTTTGGATATTTGGCAAAGCCTGATCTAATGAAGTAATCATGAACACACCAACCACAAACATTTCTTCCATAAATTTTACAGAAATGTTTCTGAGTACCACAGAATTCTGCTAAAGAGTCTCAAATCCATATTTTTAGTACTAATATATAATAGATTCTCTCCTACACAAAGAATGACTTTTCCTCCTGAATCTAAAAGTGAGGTCCAGCTTCCCATTGCTCACCGCACTCAAAGTTAATTATACTGAAAAAATAATTACCTCAAAACCAGTAGGAGTATTTTTTCTTCTCACCTGTTAAAAAGTAAAGTTCTGGAAGTCTGCATGCTTATATTTTTACTTTATCTTTCCTCAGGAATTCTCATGATATTAAGTGAAATTCCTGTGACCTTGATAAGCTTTGAATTATGCTGTAAAAGTAAAGTATTTTGTAATTTCCTGAAAGGTATCTGGATCTGAGACTACAAAAAAAAAAAATGCCTAGATACTGATGTTCATATTAAATTAGCCCTTTTACCAGAATATAATGAAGGTCCTCTACCCATTCCACCAAATGTAGGCATCAGTGTGTCCAAAGACCTTAACTGAGGGATTTGTCATTCTGACCAAAGGACAGAATGACAAATATGCAAATAGGCATTTGAATGAAAAGAGACAAAAACTGATTGCCCATATTGAAGTGTTTTTCTTTAAAAGTTTTCTTTGGAGAAATAAAAATCAAATTGCCTTTTGAGCTACAAGGACTTGAGTATTTAAATCAACTGTAAGAACCTGAGGAGCACCCAGGGCTAAGGGTGGCCCAGATCTGCAGCCCAGACAAGTTTCTAAGGGTGCCGTTTTGCTTTTATGCTATGTTGCTATTAAATGACTCTAAGATACTAAGTAAAGTAAATATAAACAGAAACTAAATGCTTATTGCCATGGAGTTCATGGCAAGTAATTTAAACAGTTTGTTCACTCAGAATCTGAATTAAAAATTTTAAATATATAAACTCTGGTTGGCCAAAAAGAAAAACAAAAATTATTTCATGGTATATTCTTGTGAAAGTATTATTCCATTAACTTTGAATTTACGAAATGAAGTAAGGGGGATTTATTAATATTAAGAAGCTCTAGTAGCCGTGGGGCCAGAGCAGCAGAGCCCTCTGCGGAGGCCAGGCCTCCGGGGCAGTGTGGCTTCTCCATCGACCCGCGCCCCTCGCGGAGGCTCCAGTCCAGGCCCCACCTACGACCTCCGGAGGCTTCCACACAGCCGCCGCCTGTGCCTGCTTGGACGACATCGGCCTGTCAGGCCTCAGAGCATGTAAGATTTGCTCCTTCACTGAGTGCTCACTACGTGCTAAGTGCCACATGCGGTAGCCTTGCACAACCATAGTGTCATCATTCCCAGTTTACAGATTTGGAAACAAACTCAAGAGGTGAAATGAGCTGCACGGGTGAACACCTTGCAGCACATGCTTCTCCCTCGTAAACCAGAGGTGTGGGAGCAGGTCTGCGAGCGCAGTGAAGCGCACCGAGCGAGTTACGGGGAGGGGGAGGGGGGTGCTGCCCGTCTGCGCCCTTCGGCGCCTGCTCTAAGACCAGCTCCGTCTCCACCCAGACGGGGAACACGTGGATCCCGGAGCGCCTTCCAGCGCGGGCGGACCGGTCCGGGAGCAGGTGTGCGGACGCCTACAAAGCCAACGGCTAGTAACTGCAATGAAAAGCTTCCACTTGACCTGGCAAGAAAAATAATCTAAACTAATAACTAGCATTCAGAGTGTGCTCATTTGGAAGGTGTCGCCCAACTCCCCCATCCCCAACAATCCTGGGAGGCGGCGGTTCCACCTTCTCACCCTGAGGGACTCTGAGACGCCTGGGGGCAGTCAGGCCCGAGGAGTGGGGTTCGAACACAGACCCACACCCCCGGCTTCACAGCCGGTGCTCTTGCCATGGTGCCCTGAAGCGTCTCCTCCCAAGTGCATTCTGCAGGCTGCAAATATATTTGTGGCTTGACAATTACTAATTAAACATGAAAAATTGCAATCTCAACAATATGAGAAATTAACATCATCCAGGTTAGAAGCCACACAGTCATATTGAACTCCTCCTGGGAGTATATTTTAACATGGGTTTTTAATCGATTGGCTCAGTTTTCTGCATTATTTAGTCTGCTGTTCCGATTTTAGCTTTTATTTGAAAGCTAGCTTTCCTGATTTCAGATATTTCTTTTTCATAGATGCACTTTTTAAATTTCATTGAAACCAGGATTTAAAATGTTCTCATTTTTCTCACTTCTTACAGTAAATCCCCAGTTGGGGATTAGGTCCCTAAACATACCCCCTCCGTGGCATCCTCTTCATGTTCTTTACATGCTGTTTGATGTGGCCCTTCCCGGTGTCTGGTGGTCATCCCACACCAGACTGTCCTGTGGCCTCCAGCTGGGCTGCCCGCCTCCTTCAGGGCCTGCCCTAGCCGAGCTGCAGGCCTGTCTGCCTCCATAGGTAGTAAATGCCAGTGATTATCTCAAAAACCTAAGACTGGTTATATTATTCCTCTGCTTATTACCCTCCAGTGGTTCTCTGGGGTCAAGTAACATGGCCCACAGGCTCTTGAACTTGAGGACATTTGTCCAAACTCGCTCTCAAAGCTATAATATCTTAGAAGTACCTGCAAAAATGCCTCACAGGAAAAACAGTTCACTTGCCTTCCCCATAGCAACCAAGACCAAAAGTTATTCAGCCCCAGGCCTTTCCTTCTTACCATCTTTGGCATATTTTTCACACCAGTAAGCAATCTTCCACATTTAAATAAAAGTTAAAGACAACTTCCCTTTCAAAAACCTACCTATAAAACTTAAAATTTTATTGTTCTCTACAAAAAATGCAAGGAGAAACAAAAAGTGTATATTTTACCTGTAACTTCCAAAACGCATGTAGAAATTCCTCAATTGCTTCCTAAATGCCTGTAATCAAGAAAGCCGGAGTCTGGAAGAATCGTAGTGAAGGGCCGAGGTCACGGAGAGTCTGTTGCTCGGATGCTGCTAAGGAGAGAACCCGGCTTCTGTTTGTGTGCTCAAAGGGAGCAGTGATGTGTGCATTTCACCTGGATTACCTGTAGCAACTGCAAACACTTCACGTAACTCTCAAACCACACCCTGGCAAAGAACAGAGCCAGTCGGGAATCCGTGACTGTTGCTATACATCAGAGGGATCCTCTCATTTCAACAAAGACTGCGCAGACCACAGCACAAGTTAAATGGCAAACGAAATAACCTATCGTGTTCTTTTTCTAATCAGGAGATCTTTTGTGGCATATAAATATTAATATAGTGAGGCATTTGAACATAGGACCTTTTTACCTTATTCGAAGTTGATATTTTCACTGTTTTTCTTGGGAAGCATGTTTTAGTTTAGTTGGGCACCATGATGTGTAGGTCACAGCCCCATAACAAGCAAATCAGTTCAGTTCAACAGACACTGTCCACTGCCTGCTCCATTTAAAATACGGGCCTGAAACAAAGAAAACAAAACTTCTGACTTCTAAGAGCTCAGAAGCCAGTTGTCTCTTGTGCAGAGCCAGCTGTCAACATGCATGTATTCTCTCTGCTCTTCATTTGTTCTCCCAACAACCACGCAAGCGCCTGCTCAGCCAGGCCGAGCCAGGCACTGCGCGATGCAGGCAGCCCGGGGAGGTGGGGACCTTGGGGGCTGATAGTGTGTCAGACCACTCGCTCTCCTCATTGCCTTAATTTTGGTCACCAGGACCCCTGGGTAAAGGCCTCATATGGATTTCTGTAAACAGTTTTATTGACATATAATTGATACGCAGTAAGTCCTCATTTAACGTCATTGATAGGTTTTTGGAAACTGAGACTTGAAGAGAAACGATGTCTAACAAAGCCAGTTTTCCCACAGGCTAATTGACATTAATATAAATAAGAGTTAAGTTCCTATGATATATTTCCAGTCACAGAAACATCACCAAACTTCTAAATAAAGACCTAAAACACTTCTAATATTAAACAGTGACATAAATGTGACCTCTATATATATTTAAGAAAGATTAATAAAAACAAGGCAATGGCC